AGTAAAATTCGACTAACACTTGGACTTCATTTATAAAATGATGATATCTTAAGATCTTTCGATGATTTTTTAATGTTGTCATTTAATTATCTTTGTCGGGCCACTTACCTACTGGCATAGGTTAATTTGTTTAATTTGTCGTTCAATTACATTTGTCAGGGGATTTACCTGATGGCATGGCCTAACATCGTTATCGCATTGACTTTCTCTTCAACATCTGTACATGCATGAGGATATCATTAAACGTTTTATTAGTTAATTGGTCAAAATCATAAACTCCCCAATTTTGTGTTGTGTGTGTGTGTGTTTTGTTACTATGCCGCCCAAATAAGATATAGATAATAAATAAATAATACATAAGGCAATATTCCCATTAATTTAATGATCGAGACAGCAGTCGTATGCATCGGAATATTGTGACTGTAATTACTACAACTGCAATCATATTAATTCATGCATGATTGCAATGCTCGTTCTCATTGAAACGAACAAAATACGCAATAATAGTGTAGTTCGTGTCAGATAATACGTCACTTGCTTCCATCGACCCAAGATTTCAATACCTCGCATAGTTACGTGACTGATTTGTCAAGTAGTAAATTTGGTTGATTTCCCTATTTACCTTTAAATTCTTTTAGCTGTAATCTCTGAAAGTGTTCTTTTCCTGCTATAGTAATCAAATTTGGCGGAAGTGTCATAAGCGACTAACCCAAATGAGGAAACACCGGGTAAACTCGATCTAAATTTGATGGAAATAAATAAACCAATCCTGGTTTAAGACAGATAATCGGGATAGCAGTGTGGCCAATGCTTGTGATAATCAACACTGATATCGACGTCGCCCTTGAAGTTTGATTCAAGATGAAATTGACGACAGACCGATTAAATGAACCACGCTGTGTTTTACAAGTTGTTTGCCATACGTTACAAATGATGAATTCGGTCGGTAAATTAATTGGGTGAAATCCTATTGAATCGGTGAATTGAAAACCACGACTCTATAGACGATGCAATCAGTATGTAATATGTCGTCAAATGTACGTTTCCAAATCAATGTAGTATATGTACACAATTGTATGCCGCGATACCGCCTACCGTTTCACTGGACAATGGTACAGACACTGAATTGCAATTTGAAGAATAGATATCGCCTGTTCGGCGAATCTTTTCTTAGTACACTAATATTCTAACTATTATCAATAGTATCTATATACACTTATTACTACACTGATTTGTCTGTCTAGTTTCAATATGCGAAACAGTGAGTTACGATACTAACATTTTATTTGGACACTTGTCCCGGGAATTTTAATTGAGGGTAATTTCTACTTTCTATCTCCATATTAAAATGCGACTTCCAATTGAATATTTTGGCAATCGCTTATTGGCATAACACCGTGGAAATATGCAAATCATATAAATATGCAAACCGATCCAGTTTAGGCACGTCAGACGTCGTGTATGGCATGCCGTGTACCGGTATACGTATAATGCCCAATGTTATTCCGTCGCCGCTAATAACATACTTCCGCTATAATACACGTTATTGATTCATCTGGGACCTTGTTTCCAGTACCCGCATCACTGCAGGGATTATTCTGATCACGTGTTGGAACTGTCACTCACGATCAGCACTTGTGATATATATCTGTAATATCTCAACTTTTATAGAGTAGTCTCACCTGCGATAATCATATCGCAATTTGGACATTTAAGTCTCTTGTGGATGAAATATACTACTGCAAATTATTAACAGAATAGAATTTGTATATACTAAACCGACAGACCATGATAAACTGATTACGTTACTAATACTAATACGTTACTAAATAATAATAAGCTAATCTAAAAAATCTATAAATTCAAATATAATTGTTGCGAACAAAAAAAAAATCACACAACCAGTTGTCTCACATGCAGAAAATAACTAATTTTCCGTCAATGGACCTTATTTTGTGTGTTATTTTTTCTAAAGATTATTATTATTATTATCATTGCTTATGTAGCACATAATGTTCATAATCTTAAAAATACAAAAGACGGAGCTTCATTTTGTGTTCTCATAGAATCCAACCATTACATGTGTCCTAATTAAACCTAAATAATTATTATGTGTTTAGATCTGTTCGCTTTTTACTACACTTCAGTTATGCGCTGTCTACAATTTAGATAATGAAGTTTTTACCATCAAGCAAACCCCCACCATGGACCGTAACAAATTGTTGTTTCTTAGAGTGTTGGCTAAGAAAATTAAAACTTCCAGCATTAGTTTTGTACTCCCAGCCAGTATTAATTAGAAATACTAACAATGTCATACACATTAAATTTGTCCATTTCAAGGTTCAATGTGGAGCAACTTGCAAGATTTAGCCTGATTGGCCACACAACCCTAATACCTAACAGTCAGACCAATCAGAGAGCAGCTTACAGCTTCAACAGCTTCACCGTATCAAATTCTGCCTTGTATGTATGCTTGTAAATTACAGGATAAAATATCAATAACAAAGCAATACGTTAGCATTAAAGGATATATTGAATATGTCTATCTGTCACAAATTGTTTGCTCGAATAAGCGGAAATCCTTAAAACTCGTTAAAGTGAATGGTTTATTTAAACGAAATGGTGTTTATGAGGCAGATGCCCTCGTGCGGGCAAGTATAAAATGGATATTAAAGGGCGGTAGTCGCGCCGCGTCCTGTTCGATATGGGACTCATAGCGACGTATACAACGCGTGTAAAATACATTATTTATTTACATGAAATTCGAACACGCGCTGCGCGCCGACCAACGCGCTTTTAAAATGTAAATCTCATAAATGTTGTCATCATATTAATACATTTGTGCCAATGATAAGTGAGACAAACATTGACCCAAGCAGTGTTTGTTTAACGTATGAGAACTTTTATACAATATATTGTCGAAAGATTGATCTGACTCTGATGATTGCATTAATATGTACACGCAGTTCTTGCCTTCTTATATTTGACTATGTCTCTTGGTGTTTATTGTATTTTCACATTGTGTCGTTTTTAAAGGACGCTGGTCGTCGTGCCGCGTCCCGTTTTATATGATACGGATCTCATGACGACGTACACAACGCGTGTAAAATACGATGTTTATTTACTTGAAATTCGAACACACACTGCGCCGCGACGAGCACCACCCTTTAAGATGTACATGTACTAGTGAGAAACACGTGTAGCGTGATAAGAACATCACTCGTTGTACGTGCTACTAGGAATGTTAAATTTAGCCTGGGTCACATCAGTGTGTAAGATGATTAGGGAAATAGGCCTATGTGATTCACCGGGGACTCGGAGTACTGACACGTCCTTCAATTTCTTTTTATGTATAACGTATCCTCCCATTCTCCGCCTTAACTCGTGAATTCTTCTAAAATACCGTCTAAATTCGAAATGCAGGGCCACACACAGCGCATATTATTCGTTATAAGTTCGGTTTCAGCGATTATTGCAATGTTATCATTAACACTGTAGCAATACGAGTATTTGATTCTCTGAAGTGCGCGCAGTAATTAGCCGGTAATGATTTTTTCTAGATCACGGCGATTGGCATACACAGCACATAAAATCGTGACGTGAGCTTATTCCATAAGTGAACCTGAAAGAGAGACAATCCAAATCAAGATCCGCTGTTGTGCTGAATTGATAAGAAGATATAATTACACGTTAATGGAGGCTGTTATTGGGACGCCGTTTATTCTCTCTTTTCCTGTTTCCAGTCAGAATATATTTTATAAGCCTTTTGTTGTTTTTTCGCCCCAGCCTTGGGTCACGGTTTTCATAGCCGTATTAATTCACTTTATATGCGTCATAGTTAATCTGATTCGGTAGTAGTTTAGTTTTCAAACAACAAAAAACGTACGTAGATCAAACCCTAGGGTATATACATAGATCAAGGCATGGCGCCCCCAACTTGATTTTAGTTATATGCCATTTAATGTAGGCGTAAAAAAGATTTCCGTGTCAGTAGAATTGGCATTGTTATTCGTTCATGAAAAACATGATCCGAATTGTTTTTATATAAACACGTATTTATGTATTATTGAAGACAAACTGTTTTATTTATGTGGACAGTTATTGTTGTTACCTTGAATACGTATAATTGTTTATTTTGAATGGGAATTAACCACAGGAGTACCACACTGTACAAAACAAACTACCTTATCGCGAACAATAATCTACTAATAATCTACTTGGCATATAACATAGCATCAACATATCAATGTGCAAAATTGATATCGAACTACCAATTTCGAATCTTTAATCTCAACTGATCGATGTGATACTTTCAATGGAATTCAGAACGTAGTAATCTTAATCAAAAGCAAGGCGTCGTATTACTGCAGTCGATGTCTAACGCTGTACGAGTGGTGACCGTGGTGTTGTGACGTTTTTGCTATTTCGTTAAAAGCATTGTGTTTCTGTAATGTCATTGAGCCATTGCCGGTCATTTCATCCACACTTGACAAAGGTGCTATTAATCGTGTAGTTGCTAGCCTCAATTGTTCAATATCACCACACATCAAAGTTTTCTTTTAAAGACTATTGATGTTTTATTTTTTCCCCGCACACTGATTGTTGACGTCAACGTAAAGCCGTCAACTAAACTGGTGTTTATATTTGATGCGTCTGTTCTGTCGAACGGTGATATTAACATGAGCTCCCATTTGTTCTTATATATGGCAAGCGTGAATGAATACGAGCCGCCATACAGTGATCAGATATACTGTTAACAGCGTGCGTAGAACCCCCTAGCTGAAAAGACTCCGAACAAGTGTCATATGGCAGTGAATACGTGGATAATGAATTCAATGGGCGTGGATAAACGCTGCGATGCTAGTGGTGGATGCTTTAGTGCAGAAACAACGTTTGGTTGATACACTGAATGAACACACTGCTCTCACTGAAGCAGTACATATAAAACAGTCAAGTTAGAGAGACGGCGGAGCGTACAAGTCATAGTAAACGATCTAACCATGGCGGATGAAAACTTTACTACCTGGTGGAGCATCACCACCGAGTCAGCCACCGATACGCTTTCAAAGGGAAATGTCTCCGAATTGTTGAACTCTACTGTGGAAACGTATACGCCGTCTGCAACAAGCCTGCTGCTGTCGGCGACCGAGCAACTCGTCACCACGCTGAGCTCGTGGAACGTCACACCGAATACGAACGGAACTACAGGTTCAATGTTTAGCCCCCCACCAAATGACAATGGCTCCTGGTATCCGGCTCTCCCGGATTGGTGGGCAACATTGAATGATAGAATTGGGATCATTCTTCCAATTTGCTATGGCATTATATTCGGCTGCGGTTTTATTGGTAACCTGTTGGTGATTCTGGTCCTGACGAAATACTCCAGCATGAAAACATTGCCCAATATTTACATTTTGAATCTTTCCATCGCTGATTTTCTTTTCATGTTCACCATACCTTTTCTTTCCTACCAGTTTATAGCCAACAAGTGGATATTCGGCGCCGCAATGTGTAAAATTGTGATGGCCTTCGATGGCATGAACCAGTTCACGGGAGTATTTTTACTTACAGCGATGAGTCTGGATCGCTACGTAGCGTTTGTGCACCCCATGAAATCGCTACGGATTCGTACAGTTCGAACGACACGGACGGTATGCGTTACGATGTGGGTACTGTCTGCATTGGTATGTCTGCCACTTTGGATGTACACAAAGAGCGACGTCTCTCGTTATGACAATAACACCGTTTGCTTACTGGACTGGCCGGAGGAGGTCGCTAAATCATTCCTAATTTATGCTTTTTTGCTTGGATACGTACTGCCCTTGATTATAATTTCATGTTGTTATTTCATCATCGTTAAACAAATACTGACAAGCAAACAACCAGGCGGTAATACATCGGGAGTGAATCGAAAGGGTTCTAGACGCGTTGCAATGCTAGTCATCGTTGCTGTTGTAACGTTTGCGGTTTGTTGGCTTCCTTTCTACGCCACCCAGCTTCACTTTGCCTTTTTTTTGGAAGGGTTCCCATCAATGGCGGCGATGATATCTAATTACGCCAGTATTTGTTTAAGTTACGGAAACAGTGTGATTAACCCGATAATTTACACATTTGTTGGAAGAAACTTTAAGACGAACATATTACGCCTACTGCGTTGCCAAGGAGACTCGTACAAACGATCGCAAAGTACCTATTTGTCTGGTAGTCGAGCAACAGTGCGCCAACAAAGGAATGGCACACTGAACCCGACGGGAGTCAAAAACGTCCTTTCTACCGTGTCAGTAAACGATTCGCCCACTCGGAGTGTCGATATGATGACATTCGACAACAGCGCATTCAAGAATGCTTCGGCGAATACGCTAGCTGCCGGGTTCAGTCAAAGTAGCACTGCAAAAGTTACTACGAACGATCATAAAGTTGAACCAAAATCAACATCTGGGAACAAAGACACTGTTGATGGTACATCTACGACCAAAATGTCACCAGTCATATCACAGAGAAATGATGCACTTGTAACAACAATGCCGCATACATTGCCAAGGGATACAGAATCATCGGGTAATGGGGCAGCGATTATTGGTGACGTAGCATGTACTGGCCACGTGAACCTTGCAATGGACAATAGCGATGGCGAAACCGACTCCCCAGTTCACACTGAAGCCTGAGAGAATATTAAATACGCCGTCACGATCTGTTGGTATTTATAAAGCACTGCTTATCAACACTCGATTACATGTACATATATTGTGTATCATCTATTCTGTTTTACATTGAATTTATATTTGACATTTATAAGTTGAGAAAAACAAATGCGTACACAACGCGCATCATCAGCACTACTGTGTCTTTCCATGCTAGGTACGTGAAGTATACTTCATTCTGACCAAAATGCCTTACCATCCGTCCTGAATAGAAACAAAAAACGTACCATATGACAGTTTAATTTATTCTCCATTGTGGTGCGCTTAAACAAAGCCAAGTTTGTAGTATGTGTCGCTGTCAGTCACAAGCTTTGACATTCTGTATGGCTGGTAGGACACGTCAACATATTGTAGTTTAGTCTGTTTATATATATTGCCGTCTTTGCTTAGTCCTAGCTATATAATTTAATAAATCTAACATCGGGGTGTCAATGGCAGATTACCATACAAATAACCCATATGCGGACATAATTATTCTGTTTTGTATTAAAATCAAATAACAGATATAGTTATAAACATTATATGTCTGTATATCATGGCGGCAATTAAATAGAAATATGGGTCTATCGATGTAAATTCATTGTTATGCTGTAAAAAATAGCATCATTTGTTTGATTGATAAATACGGGTGTAGGTCACGGGCGCTTACCACATAGTGCGGAATAATAATATTATTATTGTTGTAAGTGTATGAAGATGAGAACACCAAATGTGGATACCATGAACTAGGTGATGCATGTACACTGTAACATTTGTCATGCTGTAAAACAACACAACACCGAACACTCATTTCGTATTGCCATCTTTCATCGATGCCCTAAGACAAGAGACGCGCCAGGGGAGAGATGAGGTTTCATTTGGAAATTAAGGAAGACCATCTAAAATCTTTTACATAGATGCGGTTTTAATGTTGCCTGCTAGCACCTCTTTCGTGATTGCAGTGACGAGTGCTGCACACAGGAAACTCATTGGCAATTTGTCGAACCGGTCATCAACGTTAAAATTGAATGAAAATTGAGTTAATGTATTTTACTGGTGAACCATGCTAATAGAAAACACTCACACGCACGCGTGTGTTAAATCTACCGTTCAGGTTTTATGTACACTATCGCATATATACTGGCTAAACATTATTGGTGTCTCAATGAGCAATTTCTCTTGTAATAGACTGACCGAATCAAGTTGAGTCTATTTTACATTACCTTTTTTAAACCATTGAGGGAAGATTATTTGATTTTATCATACATCATCTCCATTAAATGATAAACGTTGTATATATACTCTATCGATGACGATATAATTGTATAGATTGGTCAATTAAAATATATTATTATACTAAGATTTGCGAATGTGCAATATGGTATGTACACTGTCGTTTTACCAAGTTCTCATTAATTAAATTAAAGATTTTACCGATTCATTGTAGTATGTTTGGATGAAACGTTGACTGATATTTATTTCCTACACGTTGTTCGAATTCGCGAAAACATGAAATGAAAGTAGGAATAATAACGTTTCTAACATATCGTGATGTATTGGAAATAAAATTAAAGTTCCCGGTCTATGTCCGTGATACATTTCTTTGGAATGATGGCCGAATGTTGTTATAAGAACATAATGACACTTGAGTAAAAGATCGAATCGGCGAACACGATGCGTTGTCTAATTTGTTCCATTCACGTTATACATGATGCTTTACTTCTAATATCGTTTGAACTAGAGACGAATTTCCATGATTTGGTCGAACGTCGAATATTTGGAATATAATGACTTTTTCGCTCGGTCCTGGCACGTACTCAATGACATATGAATTAGAGGTTAATTTGGAGAGTAAAGCAACAATTCAACATTCATTTACCTTTTTCTGAAATCCATTAAGCTGTGTATCCAGACAATTTACTTTTTAAATTAGCCTGGCTTGAAAGTTTACACAGAGTCTTAAGGAACCCATTGATGATGGTGCGATACAGAGGGTGGGGTTAGATTTCAATGTAGGCTATTCGGATTTCTGTGATGATGATCAGAGATTGAATTACGAGTGAATTCAAAGTACGTCTGCAGTGAGCGTACATAGTTGAGATAGCTGAGATATAAGTCTCTGTAAGATCGGTTGAAAATAGTTTTGGCCAGTTACCAAGTAACTGCAAACGCGACCAGATGTATCGGATTCAATATTCTTGCATATAATGTCGGCACTTCCCGGAGAAAAATCCAAACATCAACTTACTACATAGTCGGCTAACCCGACGATGTGGTCGTATTAACGAGACTAAATAACGTGTAATTTCTATTAATGCATTCTGAACACGACCAATGCATGTCGGTCTACTGAAATGATAAATTCATATGTCGCCAATAAATGAAATAACAAATGACGTCACACGTGTCGGTAGCATATAGTTAGAATAGAACAAACATAGAACAACATATGGTCCATATGGTACAGCATAATATGAGCATAGCTTTAAATGTATTCAGGATTTTGTTTGCTCTGGTCTTCTTAGAGATTGCATTGAAATTCCGCGTGCCCAGGTTATGTTATTTTGTGTTACATCTGTAATCGCTTCACGATTTTGTAAAGTAGTTTTCTGAAGCGTGATACAAAACACAAATAACCAATACTTGTTTCTTCGAAAACAACAAGGAGCTGTGCAAACCCAGAGTTAAACCAAAACTACTTTTGAGCACGATTTAAATTATATCTTCAAACATATGTTATTTTATGCACTACGTCGCGATAGACAATATAATTACTACTTATACACGTTTCGCATGCAATGTAAACAACAATACGGTCACAATACGATAGCCGTGCCTACCTATATATATATACATATATATGCATGATTGAGTGTGATTGTAACAGATAGCAATTCTTCTTCATATCACCAGAATTTGGATTATTTG